AAAGATTGATAATGGAAATATTTAAATATTAGAAGAAATAAAAGTCGAAAAGTCAATCAATAATTTATCTTGAGAAGTTGTTCTTGCTCATCACTTATGAGTAGTGACTTCATAAATCAAATTCGCCTAGTTGGGACAAGTTCTTCAATCGTAATCATCTGCTTGAGAAGCATTCTCTTGTACACCGATAAGTCTCTTTTGAGCTAAGATAAAGTACAGTAAATTAACTTTATTTGAATCATGTCGACTTAACTTTAATGTTATGTGTGGAATCTGATTGTGTTGATCAATCAGATTGTTTTGTTACCTCGGACCTCAAGTTTCTCTTGCTCACTACTCGAAATTTTCTTACGTGCAATGCCCCGACACTGTGTACCGAAGCGCCCCGGCACTATGTACCGGAGCCTGAGCGCCCTAGTGCTAAACGACAAAGAGAAGAGCTCTGCAACGATATAGGTAGGCGCTGGAGTGGATCAAGACAAAGGTTCAAGCGTCGCATCACTTCAAATTGGCATTGCAAAACTGTGAGACGGACTTGATGATTTTCTTTCTCGTTTTTTTGAAGGGTTGCGTCCCATGGGGTTATTTTACTTGGCTTTCTCTTATATTTTGAGTGGTTAGACATTGAGAATAGTACATATGAGAACAAAAACAAGGAGAGAGTGAGAGAGAAGAGATATTTGTACTTATTTCTCCCAATTTTTATAGTGGATTTCTTGATGTGGTATGCTTGAATTTTTTCATATTAAATCTTGTGTCCTTTATTTTTCTGCTGCTTTTATTTTTTTGCTTGTTTCGTCATTATGGTGTTTACTCCTCATCCCAACATTGAATCGACCCGAGTTAACTTAAATTTGAATTTTTGAATATTTAGATGTACCAACAATGATAAAAATAAGCTTCCGATTAAATATATCGAGAGGCTGCTGATCAAATAAAAGACAAATTTTAAAAATTAACACGTTAGATTCAATTTTTGTTGAAGTAGCTTCAAGTAAGAAATTTAGAAAATATCTAACTCATCAGAAAATTGGGCGATTTGCCCAGAATGAATGAATCATGATGGTAGCAAGCATGACTTAGCAAATCACCCTATCTACTGGCGAATTTATCCTTTTTAAATCGGTTCGGGCCGACGATCGATCGTCCCACTAAAATAAAAGCATGACGTGCGCATCCTTAAAATTTGCCTTTCTGAATATGAGTCGGAATTTTCGGATGCGGGTGTTTTGTCCCCGAATATTTGTGGTGGATCAGACCCTGGAAATGATTTTACTTTGGCTAGGCCAGTTTCTATGGCTCCTCGTGGAAGATTCCGTGGCAGGGGTCGGCGTAAAAGATAATTTTGTTTGGTTCACCCCGTTTTATGGTTTATTGTGGTATTTTTTGGTGGACTGGGCGATGATGTGGCTGGGGCTCGCACCCATTGTCTGCTTGTGGCAACCATTGGTTATGAAGCTGTTTCCTTTTGGAGGGTCCCTGCCAGTCTTTGGGTTGCTGGGAGCCTCGGCTGTTCATTTACTGAGCCTTGTATTGGCTTTTTTTGTTCTCCTTTGGTTGTATTTTCTGCTTTTGCTGTGTTTGTAACTCGGTCTGTAGCTCGCTTATTTATTAATATATTTCTTTTTGTCAAAAAAAAAAAAAAAAAAAAAAAAAAAAAAAAAATAAAAAGAGAACGTAGTATGCTAAGCATTTATGTATTTCTATTGTCAAATGTGATAATTCAAAAATATATCAAGACTGAGGTGGGTCAGCCATCGCAAAAAAAAAGTATAGAAATTTATCATCACTCATAATGAGTCTGTATTGGCAGTAGATGCTGAAGAGGGACAATAACACTAAGATGTATGCGCGGGGCCGAAAGAAGAATGTACGATTATTTAATAAAGGTACTATTCAGAAGATCATCCCAAGTATTATCATATTGATCCGATTCAGATAATGGGAGAGGCGGGAAAGGAGCAGTCGCCACAATTCCCACGACTATGCCACAAAAAAAGGTCCCATGTGTCTCGTATATACCCGCGCGTAACAAACAGCATCAAAACACTCTCATCCTTACCCGCATTCCCGTTTGCCTATGGGTATTCCCACTACGTAATTGCCCTGAAGAAATCATAAAAAAATAAAAACCCATCCCATGACGAATAAATTCTGAAAAGTATTTTATTCTCCGCCTCGAACAGGCACAATTCTCTACCTGTCTCCATATACTATCCTCCACTACGTGTCGTTTGTCTTACTACAGTTTCCAGCCGTGCTTGTGTGTTTTTTCCGCCTTGTCCTTGCGATTAGTCATTGTTGGTAATAGTACCTCAACCTGGAACCGCCACGTTGATTGAAATGTTACTTTCGTGCCTTAATCTCTCATGAAGTCGGGAAAGACCTCACAACACCCAATATTTTTTTGAAATCAAATAAATACAATGGAATATATAGAACCTAAAAAAAAAATCTAATATAAAAAAGATTATCCCCTTCTCGATGCATTCTCCCTGAAAGTAAATGGTTTGCAGTTTGGTTAGAATTCGGTTGATCTCAGGTCTTTAATATTCCTACATATGTTAACTGCCGCTACCAGTTTAGGCTGTAACCGTCTGAGTATCGTATGTGGGCTATTTCATCCCTGCGCGACCATCACTCTTCACGATACGATCCCCCGTTAAGTGTAGCCCGGCTGCATCGAATCTGCGATAACACTCGAATTGAAGTATATGCGTAATACCTTGGGGTAATATTCATTATTGAGAATATATTAATGCCGTAACCCAGATCCGATAGTAATAAACTGTCGTAATCCCATCTCCTGCTTATTCTAAACAAGTTAAGGATATGGGCATCATTTTTCCTTAAAAATTACGCACACCAAGATTTGCTTACGTCCCGCCTGACGATCGGTCCTGATCGCCCGTCGACTTGACAGAGGATTTCACATTAGGGGACCCCAATTAGATATTGCTTGAGAATATTCTCCTAAAGCTTAAAGACATGGAAGAAACCTAAATATCACAAATTTCTCCTCCTCCAATTCGTGGATTCGTAAGGCAAAAAGACGCCGCTCGCAGAGTCAATACTCGCATAGCGCCGCATATACTCGACTTTAGGAGTCTTCGCTACCGTTATGAGCCCCCATAAAGATCAAGTGCGCGGGGGATATGCTAGATTGTGAGCCCGGACGTGACACAGCAGCCAGTGTTGTTAATTTATGAATGGGTCCCATATCGTTTACAGTACCCTTCAACAGCTGCGAGGTGCCCCCCTCTACTGACCTTCCCCCAATATAGGTGAGATATCTAATCTGGCCGTTACCCCCGTGCCAACCTTATCACACTATCACCCCCTCATATATAAAGCGATTTGCTTTGAGTGCTGACGCACATGTAGCAGCACCCCAGAAGTTGACTAGGGGCACCATGTCCGGATTTAGACGATTGGAATCAGTGCGAGCTGTCGGGGATTGTCTTATTATAGGATGGTACGGGCGGAGAGAAGTTCTTTTTTTTGTGTAAGATTAAACAGTAGTTATCAAGCTGCACGATATAGATCGCGAACTTAAAAAGCTTTTCCAGAACAGAACAGCCCCCGGCTGATTACATAAAATGGGTGGTTGTGTACTCTATGCGTAATAATTGTTTGAGGAGCATGAAAAAAAATCGTTCTAGATTCCACATGATTCGATGATCACTCGAATCTTTCAGAATATGGGGCTTTATGACGTCATTCTGTCCTACAAAATTCACTTGCTAGTGAAGTGCCGGCGGGCCACATATTTTCAGATACATGCGCAAGCTTGGCTGTCCCTCAAGCAGCACTCCGATTCCCCCGATTCGATCGACCACCTACGTCTCGCTTAAGTATACCGGCTTCTAAACCACAAAGCGGTCCCAATTTGGTCCCTCCCTGATGGGGGCCCGAAACCGTTGTATATGAAACCGAAAAGGACCACTATAACATACTTTATCTTGTTAATTTATAGCTTACAAGAGAAACGGAAGTCGGACATATTACGTTGGACGACTAGCGCATGTATAGCTGCTCAGTGGTGCACTTTTTGTTAATCCCCTCTCCATAAATCTGCGGATTATTCGCCATTTGACCCAGCGCCGTATATGTATTATCCGTGTAAATGTTTATCGAAGTG